AGGAAGAGGTTCCAACGGATATATATGTCACGGTTCCGACAGATGAAACTCTTCAAAGAACTTTGAGGCATTGTTTACCTTAATCTTTATTTGAGTAGCATGGCATCAGAGTCAAAGTCAAAAACTGGATTCCTCTCCCCTGAGCACATAGTATCAAAGCACAATTCCCTCCTCCAATTAACAGTCATAAATCACATTCTCCAATTAGTTTGAAATGCAGACTTCCCCTCCAGTTCTCCAGCCCGCCAATCCTTATCATCTCTTATTTCATTAACCTTGGTTCTCACACTAGTTTAGTATTGTTATGTCTAGCTAAACTCTCATGCACATTCCTCCCCCCCCCCATCTCTCTTTCTCCACAGATCTAAAAACCAGCGCATAGAATCTTCAAGGGGGTCCTACTTTTCCGAAAGGGCTCCAGCGACAGACACGGCACAGGCTCCGAGGTTCTACGAAACAGTCCCGTTTAGCTCTTCCATGAACGAATCTACCCCAAGTGGAATTACAGACAGTGTCCCTCAAGGTAGTTCTCCTGTAGTTATTTGAAAACTTAAGTCTTCTTTAGGTTGTTGAAAGACGAAGTATCAGTGCATGATAAGTAGCAGCACTAAAGCGTTTTACAACAGTTCATTTAGTGACCGTTCACAGTTACAACGGCCCTAAAAAAAGGGACTTAGGACCATTTTTCACCCTTACAACTGTCACAGCATCCCCGTGGTCACGTGATCAGAATGCAGATACTTGGCAACTGACTCAGGTCTATGACGGTTGCAGTGTCCCAGGGTCATGTGATCCTGTTTTGCAACCGTTTGACAAGCAAAGTCCTGCATGTATAAATATGCCAAGCTGGGAAGGGCATTAGAGCAGAGGTCTCCAACCTCTTCGGGCTTGCGAACCAGAGGGAAGGAGAGCAGCTTTAAAATTGGCATGTGCGCGCACACAGGGCCACACATACTGGCGCGGCACTAGCAGCCCCATTCGGCATGTGGCATGAGCTGGCGACATGCGCATGTGTGAATGGCCACGCACCCCCCACGGCAGCTAGCAGCCCGTTTGTGCATGCGCAAATGGGCTAGCCAACCCACCCAGGCTAACGGTGCATGCGCAAATAGGCCACGGACACCCATCCTGCACTAATGTCTCCGTTCGTGCGCATGCAAAAAATGGGGCTGCGGGCACTAGCGCGAGTGGGGGAGATGTGCGCCCATGCGTGCGCACACCAGCCAGGCATTTCCGTGGTCGGCTGGCCAAGAGCCCGCAGCCCATAGGTTGAGGTCAGAACCAGTACATACACAGATACCGTAAAAATGAAATCTGTTCCCCATCCCTATACCTCTTTGAAGTATGCTACTCTGAAAATTGATCAACATCGAAATAGACAGTACGTATGACATACTGAAAATTTTAAACCGTACACGAGAGTTAGAACATTTGAATTTACCTCAGATATCATTTCAAGACTGTCTAATTAAATTTCTCCCAAAGTCAAAGCTCTTGCTGAAATCGTGAAGGCTGCTAAAATAAATATATTTTGCAATCTATACCTTCTATCCATGTGCAGCAAGACCTATTAATTTATTTGGTGGGGGGGGTGGTATTTCTTCTTCACTTTAAGAACCTGAAACTGTGGAAGAAGCTCCTAAAAAGAAAAGAGTCACATATGAAGAACTCAGAAACAGAAACAGAGGACAGGAGGCTGGAACGGTGCAGAAACCTGAAATTCGAACGAGCTCGTTACCAATAAAGGAGAAAGGTAAATATTCAAAGGGAATATAGTTGGTAATGGCACATTACAGCCAAAAGCCAAAATTTTATATTGTGTATTTTAGTTGTGTTTGGAATACACAGCCATGAACTGGAAACAATATTTTTTGAATTTATTTTTACACTGATCGTTTCCTTCTGTTGGAAGCATTGCTTTAAGTTAGTTGTAGGATTTTAGCATTTTTTAATATATATAAAAAATCTGAGCAGCCAATAAAACAGGTATATTACCTTGCACTATTTCGTCCAGCGATCTCAAATTAAAAAAAAAAAAGGGAGCACTGAATCGCTAGCTTTCAAGGCACTTTGATTTAAATCAAGTTATTATAATGAGAAAACAACATTGTTTTGAATCATGTTTCCCAAGCAATTACTTTCATAAACAGTTATAAAATCTGACCAGTACTTACTCAAGCAGCCCACCAAGTTCTTAACTTTTGTTGGTAAAATGGGCTGCAGGATTAGATCTTCTGTATGTGACTCTTTTCTTTTTTTTCTTTTTTTAGCTAAGATTAATAAGTATGGAGATGTTTGGGAAGAGTGAAAATGCTGAACTTCCTCAATACCTGTCTTTGTTCCACTGTTTCAGCTTAATCATTGTTGGTCAAAGAGCTGAGTATTCTGTGAAATGGACATGTAATACATCTACAATAAAGATATATTTGTTTTCCATTTGCACTCATTGTTTTCATGAAAGAGTTTGTTACATGAAGGAGTTGTGTATAAAATGGAAAATGTCTTTGAACCCAGAACAGAAGTTCTGATGATCTGGTCTGGAGTGGCTGCAGTTAGACAAAAATAAAATCTGGAAAGTTTTGGTTTGCTCCAGTTTTCAGTTAAAGCAAAACTTACAGAAAGCCAGGAATAATTTTACTGGGTCACATCTCCGCTGCCGTCTCCCTCTTCCCAATGTGGCCTATACCTCCAGTCCAGTGGTGGGATTCAGAAATGTGAACAACCAGTTCTCTGTGTGGATGCTGCTTCCGGAAGTCCATTCTAAGCCTGGGCAACAAAAAATTAGCTACCGGTTCTGCCGCACTGGTGCGAACTGGCTGAATCCCACCACTGCTCCAGCCCAGTGTTTTTCAATCTTGGCAACTTTTAAGGTGTGTGAAATTCAACTCCCCGATTCCTCCAGCATGCTATCCAAATTGAGAAATACTGCTCTACAACAGGAGTTGGGCAGTCCCAACACTTCTGATTCATGAGCTCAAGTAAAGGCTGGTGAGGTTTAGAAGCGACTTCCATCTTGATTCCAAGCGATCCTTAAGCCATTTAGGGCTTTAAGAGCTATGGGGCGCAGTAACTAGAACGCAGTATTGCAGGCTGATCGGCTCCAGATTGACTCAGCCTTCCATCCTTCGGAGGTTGGTAAAATGAGGATCCAGAATTGTTGGGGGCAATAGGCTGACTCTGTAAACCACTTAAAGCAGTGGTTCTCAACCTGTGGGTCGGGACCCCATTTGGGGTTGAACGACCATTTCACGGGGGTCGCCAAACAACGCAGTCCGCCATTTTTTTCCCCTTTTCCTTAGCTGTGCTACTCCCTTTTATTCTATTGGCTTGTGAAAGCCAATATAATAGACTCTCTTGAATAGAGTCTAATTCTATTGGCTTTCAAAAGCCAATAGGAATTGTCCAGGCTGTCTCTGCCCTGCTGAGCCGGCCCATTCTGCAAACGGTGCTGCACCAGTTGAGTAGTCCTCAACTTACGACCGGTTGAGTAGTCCTCAACTAACGACCGGTTGGGGGTCGCGGCATTAAAAAGGTTGAGAACCACTGGCTTAAAGCATTTTGAAGCAGTATATAAATCTAAGCGCTATTGCTGTTGCTATTTAAAGGTCAAAGCTACCACTTTAAATTGGGTCCGGAAACAGATTGGTAATCACTGGTAGGTGGCAAAAAACTACCATAATATGTACTAACTAGTCTCAGTAAGCAGACTAGCTGCTATATTTTCAGTTAATTGACACTTCCATGCATAACAAATTGCAATAATCCAACTAGGAATTTATCAGAGCATGAATAACTTGGCAGGGCTATCACAAGTTGGTAAATAAGCCAAAACTGATAAAATGCACTCTGCCTAGTGACAGTGATGGATTTAGGACTCCAAAAAGTGAGCTTACTTTTTCAGGACAAACGTGGACCAGTCCAGATTGGCAGGGCACCAATCAGCAGGACAGATGTACAACCTACATACAGTATTTCTCACTTTTCTTGATAGAATTTCATTTTAAAATAACTTTTATTGTCATTTTTTTATACTGTGGGCACAACGGCACACATCAAAAATGAAATGTAGTTGCCCGCTCTCAAGTGAAACACATACATGACACACACCTAAACATACTATATACAACATATGTATAGACCCACACCCCTACATATACATAACATAAATACTAAATACTGTCCATCTTGAATATATAATGGAAGGAGGAAGCTTGAGAGTTCACAAGGTTAATGCTGTATGGAATGAAACTATGGCTGAATCTGGATGTTCTGCTGCGGATACCACAAAGCCTCCTCCCAGAAGGTAACAAGGAAAACAGGTCGTGAAGAGGATGTGTAGTGCCCCAGATAATCTTAAGGACCCTGCTCAAGCAATGTTTCCATCTGTCTGCTGTGCTAAATAGCAAGCTTCTGGTGCAGCCCATCAAGAAGGGTAAGGCTTTCTCCTCGCAAGTAGTTTGGCTGATGTTCTCTGCTCCTGCCTTTTTTCTGCCCTACGTGTTCCCAGATTAGGGCAGAAGGAGCAGCTCCTCCTCGTTGATCGGCTGCAGCCTCATGCTTTCCCCACCTGGAGCCTCAGCCAAATCTTTCACAGACAGCTGCTTGGAGCCATCAGGCAATTCAGCTCCTGATGTGCCAGGAACTGGTTCATCCTTCCCCGAACTGACATCCAGAGAGGCATCTGGGGAAGAGTCCGGGCAAGTCGTCACAGAATCCAGCTTATCTAAATGAGATTTTTTTGCCAGAAAATGGCAAAAAAAAAAAAGCAAAATGTGATCATGTGACCTGCAACTGGGTGTAAATGCGAGGTAGTTGCCAAGCACTTGAAATGTGATCATGCAATTGCTAGGTTGGTATGGCAATTGTAACTGTGAGGATGGGTTGTAAGTCACATTTTTTTGAGTCTGTTGCAACTTCAAATGGTTACTAAGTGACCTATTGTAAACTGAGACCTTCCTGCACGTAAATTTCTTACTCCCAAAAAATTTGTAACCACAAACTCAGTACTCACTTATACATTTATTTACAGACAAGCAGAGCAGCAAATCATTTGAATCACCTGATGCACGTATTCCCAGCTGACGCTTCAGCATTTGCTAATTCAGTATTCGCGGCAATTTTACAGAACACGAATACTGCAAGTAATGAGAATTCTCTGTATTTAGCGAAAATAAGCAGATTTTCTAACACAAAGGTCCCCAAACCTTTGGGCACTAGAGAGAGATTTTTCGGCGGACCAGAGGGTGCGTGGTTTTGTATGCTGCCTGCATCTCGTGGATGGGGCTTTGCTTGTTTGTGCAGCCCAGTTGCTGGCATGCCACGGCCCGGTACTGGTCCACAGACCGGGGGTTGGGGACCCTTGTACTAATACACAAAAATAATCATTTTATTCCAATATTCATCATAATTCTGTACAGTATATTCACACAGAGTGGAGAATACATTAACATTGAGTAAAATATTAATTTTGGTAATGTGTGCTTGTTTTAAGAATCAGAAGTATCTGTTTTTTTCATTTGAGGATTTACTTTGCCTTCTTCATCTGTAGGAGAATATTTCCTAAAAGCATTAGGAGCAGATAAAAAGACTGAATTATAGTTTATTCAAAAAAAAAAGTCACAGTGTTATAAAACCATAAAATCATAATTTTACTTCCGGAATTACAAAATGTGTGCCTTAAAATAGCAGGTTTGTGGAGCAGTGATAGGTAAAGGGGTTGTCATTCATTCATTATATAAATTTCTATTACACTGAATCTGTTCACTCTGAACAGTTTATCAGATCAGTACTATGATTGGAGTTAAAAACATACTGTACAATACAGCACAGCATAGAAATAACATTAAGGTCATCTACTCATCTCCACTCTGGCATGATGCGATTTTGTCGGGATAACAGCCACTAGTCAATTTTCCATTCTTTCTCCACCAAAGAGCCACTGTCTATATACTTATCAATTTCCTGAATGCGGTACATTGGCCTCTGTATGACACAACATGTTACACTAGGTAGGTCGCTGCCAGGCTCAAACAAGTCTGGTAAGTTATTCTCAAAAACACAAAATAAAATATAAGATAGATTCAAGATTCAGAAGGACCTTGACAGACTTGAGCAATAGGCCCTAGCCAACAAGATGCAGCTCATTGGGTTAAGGCAGTGGTTCTCAACCTGCGGGTCGGGACCCCATTTGGGGTCAAACGACCATTTCACGGGGGTCGCCAAACAACGCAGTCCGCCATTTTTTTCCCCTTTTCCTTAGCTGTGCTACTCCCTTTTATTCTATTGGCTTTTGAAAGCCAATAGAATAGACTCTCTTGAATAGAGTCTAATTCTATTGGCTTTCAAAAGCCAATAGGAATTGTCCAGGCTATCTCTGCCCTGCTGAGCCCACTAAAAGTCCCATTCTGCAAACGGTGCTGCACCAGTTGAGTACACCTCAACTTACGACCAGTTGGGGGTCGCGGCATTAAAAAGGTTGAGAACCATTGCTGTAAGAGAAGAGCAGACTAGGCTAGAAGGTGGGGTTAAATGAGTCATAAGTATGGAGTCATTGTGTTGCCTCAAGATATCTAAATTCAGCCCCCCCCCTGAATTCCATTGATTCTTATCTAGTACCAATTTAGCTTTGATCATTAGTTGACTAGATTGACTTACAACCGGTTGAGTGGTCCTCGACTTACGACTGGTTGGGTGTCGCAGCATTAAAAAGGTCGAGAACCACTGGGTTAAGGTCCTGCAGTTAGGCAGGGAAAACTAAATGCACAGGTGTAGAATAGGAGATACCTGGTTCAACAGCACTAACTGAGGGATCTAGGTGTCCTGGTAGATCACTGCTTAAGCATGAGACATCAGTGTGCTGCAGCTGCCAAAAAAGCCAATACAGTCCTGGACTGCATCAATGTAGGGATAGTCTCAAGTGATAGTATCATTCTATACTGCACTATTAAGGCCACACTTGGAATACTGCATCCAATTCTGGTCACCACGATACAAAAAAGATGCCGAGACCTTAGAAAAAGTGCAGAGGAAAGCAACAAAGATGATAAGGGATCTGGAGGCTAAACCATATGAAGAATGGTTAAGGGAATTAGGTATGTTTAGCCTAACGAAGAGAAAGCTTATGGGTGACACAATACTTGAAGGGCAGTCACAGGGAAGAGGGTATCAACTTATTCTCCAAAGCACCTGAGGGCAGGACAAGAAGCGATAGATGGAAGCTCATCAGTGGGAGATTCTGGAACTAAGGAGAAATTTCCTGACCATGAGAACAATTAATCAATGGAATAGCTGGCCTCCCAGAGTTGTAGCTGCTCCATCTCTGGAGTTTTTTGAGAAAAAACTGGATAGCTATTTGTCCAGGATGATATAAGGACTCCTGCTATGAGCAAGGAGTTGGATTAGGGGACCTCCAAGATCCTTTCCAGCCTTGTGATTCTGATTACCCTCTCTTCAATCCTGTAAAAAGTATTCAGACTAGGAACATAAACTGAGAGGATCTGAGATGGATTCAGGATCCCCTTATTGCACATCAACAGGGAGTCATCTTAATCCTTTTTCATTAGTTCCATTTTTACTTATATATTCAAGATGGACAGTATTTAATATTTATTTGCTATGTATATGTAGGGGTGTGGGTCTATACATATGTTGTACATAGTATGTTTAGCTGTGTGTCATGTATGCTTCACTTGGAGAGTATGCCATTATGCCCACAGTAAAAAAAAAAATGACAATAAAGGTTATCTTATCTTATCTTATCTTATCTTACATAAAGTAACACTTGAAAAGTTCTTTGAAAACTTACTATGGTATTATTCCGATGTAACGCTAAATCACATTTTTACAATACAAGAGCTAAGCCCAAAGCTTGGATTCATCCACTGTTTCCTCCTTTCACATACAATGGCACAAATCATAAAATATGTGATTGTTGAATTCAAAATCCCTTAATATTTATTATTAAAATAGGAAAAGGAAGAAGAGAGAGCAAGGGAGATGATGAAGACTCTTGAACCCAGGACTTTGAATGGTAATACCGTGTTTCCCCGAAAGTAAGGCCTACACCAACAATAAGCCCTAGCTTGATTTTTGGGGGTGGGCCTAATATAAGCCCTATCCCCAAATAAGCCCTAGTTTTGGGGTGAGGCACACATCTAAAACATCCAGCTAGGGCAGGGATTGGGGGGTGGAGCTGTCCCACCCGCCCCGCACCCGCTTGCCTTGCAGCCAGGCCTCTCCTTGCTGGCCCACTTCTTCTTCTGAGGCCTCTTCTGCAGCCAGGTCTGTGCAGTCAGGAATCAAGCTATGGATTCAATCCATAGCTCGGTTCTGCAAGACCTCTGCTTAGGCCTTCTGGAAAGGCCTGACTGCAAAATGCAGGCCCGAATGCAGCTGCAGAACTTTGGTCCCAGAAGAAGTGGATCAGCTGGGTGGGGCTGTCATGCCGGAGGTGAGGTAAGGCCTACCCTGAAAATAAGACTTGGTGCTTTTTTTGGAGGCAATAATAATAATAATACCCTGTCTCATTTTCGGGGAAACACGGTATTAACTATGGTCCTCTAATTTTACTGAAAGAGCACACATAATCCACATAAATATCTGAACTATCTCATTACTGTAAGGCAGTGTTTCTCAGCCTTAGCAAGTTTAAAATGTGGGATTTCAACTCCCAGAATTCCCTAGCCAGCATGCTGGCTGAAGAATTCTGGAAATTGAACCATACATCTTAAAAGCTGCTAAAATTGAGAAACGCTGCTCTAAAAAAAACCAAGTTATCATTGTAAGTACAGATTCCAAACAAACCTCTTCTGTTCTGGTCCAAATGGCACAAGAAGACTTCCATACCTCTGGATACATTTTTTAACGTATAACATTTTCCCAGCAAAAAATGCCAAAACACCAACAACTATAACGAAAAAAGTAACAGAATCAGTAACCTCTGATGAATTTTCCTCAGATTTTTTTTTGTTTTTGTTCTGCACTGATCTATAATATGGGAAATCTGCTTTAATGGTGTCTCATTGCTTGTCATTTTGAGAGTTGGTGTTAGAAATGCCTTGGGCTATTTGTCTTTTAATGTTAAATTTGGATACTTCTCACAATTAATGAACAGTTGCTGGAATTGGGTATGTCTAGTTTAATATAGAAAAGGACGAGGAGGGACATGATAGCAGTGTTCCAATCTCTCAGGGGATGCCACAAAGAAGAGGGAGTCAAGCTATTCTCCAAAGCGCCTGAAGGCAGGACAAGAAGCAACGGATGAAAACTAATCAAGGAGAGAAGCAACTTAGAACTAAGGAGAAACTTCCTGATAGTTAGAACAATTAATCAGTGGAACAACCTGCCTCCAGAAGCTGTGAATGCTCCAACACTGGAAGTTTTTAAGAAGAGACTGGACAGCCATTTGTCTGAAATGGTATAGGGTTTCCTGCCTGAGCAGGGTGTTGGACTAGATGACCTCCAAGGTCCCTTCCAACTTTATCATCATCATCATCATTATTACCTCACTGCACGAAGCAACAGGCCTCACAATGCAGAGGCCATAAATATTTTTAATGAAATAGGCAAGAAGCACGGGCTACAGATCCTTAATTTATACAAATAACAATTGTTTTAAAATTCTCAGTACAACTATAGGCAGTTCTCGACTCATAACATTTTGTAACACTTATGACCATGGCAGCATCCTCACGGTCGTGGAATCAAAATTCAGACTCTTGACAACTGACTCATAATTTATGACGATTGCAGAGTCCCGGGGTCATGTGATCCCCTTTTGCAACTTTGAGACAAGCAAAGCCAATGGGGAAGCTAGATTCATTTAACAATCATGTGACTAACTTAACAACTGCAATGCCTCGCTCAGCGACTGCGGTGAGAAAGGTCATAAAATGGGACGAAGCTCTTTTTAACAACTGTCTTGTTTAGCCACAGAAAACTGTGGTTGTTAAATGGAGGACTACTTGTATACCATCGGCTGAAATTTAAATGCTTTTAAGTTCTCTCGGAATAAAGGAATGTGTAGTAAACCTCGGAGAAAGTGTGCAGGGACAGTTTGGCAAATGAAAGACCGTTCAGTAGTGGGAAAGGAAAAAGTGAGAGAAAGTAACTTCAGATAATCTTGTCTTGGTTGTGTTTGGTGGAAGAGGGACAGAGGGAAAACTTGCTAAAGAGTCTTACTACATCCTATAATGGGTCTTCAAACTTGGCAACTTTAAGACTTGTGGACTTCAACTCCCAGAATTCCTCAGCCAGCCCTGGCTGGCTGAGGAATTCTGGGAGTTGAAGTCCACAAGTCTTAAAGTTGCCAAGTTTGAAGACCCCTGTCCTACAACAATTTTGGCATTACTGGGATCTTTGTCCTATTTCCTGACTAGGCCTTTTTTGAAGAACTGATATCTGCATTCTCCACATGCTCTATGTTTGTGTGCAAATATAGGAGCAGTGTTCCTCCACCTCAGCAACTTTCAGACTTCAACTCCCAGAATTCCCCAGCCAGCCATAGTTATCTTCTAGTTTTCCAAGGTTGAGAAACACTGCATAAAAGAGATGTTCCTTTTACTCATTATGGATTAAACCCGTGTCCTTTTTTCCTGCTGCAACTTCGCAGTCTTTCAAAACTTACCCACTACTGTATTCAAAGAAGCAGTCTTGATAATCCCTAGAGAAAGAAATCATTTTTAAGAAAAGATTTTTAGGCTCAGAGGAAATATGGACCAGGTTTGCGCATTTCATTAGAGAGAAATCTTGATCTGGTTCATGGATCAACAACTATGTTTGTATCATCAGGTTTTGTTGATTTCTGGCAAAAAACATCAATTGGATAAAAATGGATTTGCTTAGTGACCGTCAAGAAAGATAATAAAATCAGGGGCTGTCACATGGTGACTTGCTGAATGACAGCAGAATGACAACCATAATTCCATCCAATTAGATCATAAGTCAAGAACTAACTGTAAGCCACTTTAAAACATCAAAATTGCTCTAAGCCTAAATAAAAAAAAATCAAAATTGCCCGAAACTAAAACCAACCTTGCTCGGTTAATACATTTTTAAAAAAGTACATTTTACCTCTTCTAGCTGCAACAGCTGTCACAATCAAAAATCAAGACATGAGAAATATTTTCTCTTTTTCCACATGCTTTATTTTTCAGATTAAACATGAAAATGAAATAAAAAATTAAAAATCGCATATATTTTATTCCTGAAAAACCTCTTCTGCTTTCTCTACCTACTGAAGGCAATATTACAGTAGTTCAAAATCTTAAGTGACAGATTCACTGCAGAAGTCATTTTTTCACGACTGATATTAAAAAGTGCCTCTGAAAGATAAGTTTTCTCAATCATGGGAGAAAAACGCAGAGATTTCACATATTCTGCACATAAAATTTGTATATGCGTCCGGCTTTTTACAGTTCCACTGTTATATAGATTAGGGATTTTCTCCTAATACTTACTGCATGGAAATGGTAACTGATGGTTTTTGCAAAATTCACCACTTATTTTATTTAAAAAAATCTACTTACCTTTAGTAATTAGTCCTTGAGTAATAAGCATACTTCCAAAGGATAGAGGAAGCGCTGTAAACAAACATTGCAACAAACAATTTCAGCCTGGGTCTTCATTCCCACGATCCCCTACTCCCAGTGAAGCAGCAGATGGAACTTTGTAATATCCTGGCCTTTTCTGAATCTGCTAATCATAGGCGCCCAGTTTATAAAACTAATGTAGGAAACTAATATTAGAAATTTTCATCTGATTGTCTGCATCATGAAGAGAGAAAGTGGTAAGTATCTGAAAGCAATATCTCCCTCTAATTCAGTGTTACATCTGCTTCTAATTCAGTATTTCTAAACCTTAGCAACTTTTAGATGTGTGGACTTCATGCTAGCTGGGAATTCTGGGAGTTTGAAGCCCACATGTCTTCAGCGTCCCAAGGCTGAGAAACACTGCTCAACTTAGAAAAATGAAAAAGCAAAACCATCCAAATTTATCACCGATATCATTGGGGATAGTAATTGCAGCTTCCTTTTTTGGAAATGAGTTAGATAAGACCCAGAGTCATCTTTTTTTTTTTCATTTACCTTCTACAAATAGGACCAGAGACAGATTTGAAACATTTCCTTCCAGTTTGATTCTTTAATTTTTATGTTTGAACCGAGACTAGTCTTAGCTACAGCCCGCTAAAACCAATCAACTTCAAACTTTAGTCAGTGAAAAAGAGTTTGTTTAAATAAATTACCTTTTAAAGTAAGAATAAACTGTGGTTAATTAAAAATGGAAGCAAACATTTCCGATCTTGCGGTTCCACCGCAGGTGTGAAAAAATAGGTGGGGGGACCTGCGAGCATTTTTTCTGACTCACAAATGTAATTAAAAGCATAAGCTTTTGTGGGTTGCAACTCATTTCATCAGATGTACAGAGAAGCTAGACCAGTGGTGGCGAACCTATGGCACGGGTGCCAGAGACGGCACTCAGAGTCCTCTCTGTGGGCACGCGCGTCGTTGCCCCAGTCCTAGGCCTTCAGCTGGGTTTTATAGAACCTTTTCACTTTAGGCCTCCGCCGCCATGTGCAAAAAAAAAAAAAAAGGTTAAATCAATCAGTAATTTCAACTTCTCACGGAAAAAAAAGATCTTGCAAAGTTGGAATTGATTGATTGAACTTTTTAGTCCCACCCAGTCTGCCATTACCACCGCAACCACGCCCACCCAATGGGACACACCCACCCGATTGGTCATACCCAGCCAATAGGCCACACCCACCCGGCACCCGGCAATGCATAAGTGGGTTTTGGGTTGCAATTTGGGCACTTGGTCTCTAAAAGGTTTGCCATCACTGAGCTAAACTGATGTAGGATTTAAAATGGGGTGAGGTGGTGGGAAGTGGAGCAGAACAGATTCCTTAAATCTAACATCATTCCTTGTAATGATAAAGACAATATGTCTCCAAATGCAGTCACTGAAAATATCATTATGGGAATGTAATCTTGGTTTGGGATTTAAATCCTGTGAAATATGGAAGGATACTCAGATTACTAGGGATCGGGTATGGGAAGGAGACAGATGTTTATACAGGAATATGCATGTGGAGAGAAAGAGTAACTGGTTGAGTATAACATGGTTGAGTATAATAAACTAAAGTTATTATTCATCATATTTTGGGTTTTCAAATTATTTTCAGTGAGTAATTTTGGTTGTTTTAAAAAGTGCAAGGGTTATTTTAGGTACCGTATATTCCGGCGTATAAGACGACTTTTGAGAGCGTCGAAACAGCCTCCGAACTCAGAGGTCGTCTTATACTCCGAGTCATCTTATACGCCGGAAATAAGGTAGTTTCTGGCATATAAGACGACTTTCTAGGCATGCGACTCGGCATCGATTGTCTTACCCGCCGGAAATAACCTAGTTTCCAGCATATAAGATGACTTTCTAGGCATGCGACTCGGCGTCGATCGTCTTATACGCCGGAAATACCGGTAGTTTCCGGCGTATGACGACTTTCTAGGCATGCGACTCGGCGTCGATCGTCTTATATGCCGGAAATAACGTAGTTTCCGGCGTATAAGACGATTTTCTAGGCATGCAACTCGGCGTCGATCGTCTTGCAACCCGGCATCAAACTAGGGGGTCGTCTTATATGCTGGGTCGCCCTATACGCTGGAATATACGGTGTTTTCTTATTACCTGCGATACAGAGTCTTACCAGATTGTAGCAGATATCTATGGAAGAAATAAATAAAAGACATGTACATTTACAGCCCGCTAAGTAACAAATATGGGCTTTGGAGCGAACATGTTGTCAGTTCCAAAAATTAGTAATCCTCAGGTAGCCTTGACAATAGCAGAACAAAGAAATGTAGACAAAAATACAATTATATTTATTTTTGTATCTATAACAAAGGAATATACCTCTGTACCAGAAGCTTTCTTCTTTACATCGTTGACTGATATTTTCAATCTCTTCCACAGTAAGGATTCTTGCATGACTAAGTAAATTCTGGAAATAAAAAGCTAAATAAATAATAGTATGAGAACAGCATGCTGAACTACAAAGAATAAAATATTGAGGGTTTTTTTCCTATGCCAAAAAAGAAAATTCTTGAATGTGTAGAACATTACGGTCTATAATTCAGTTGATCATTTCTTCAGTTGAATGTTATTAAAATCTTATAAAACAAGTCAATTAAAAAAAAGTTAAAGTTTCGGAAAAAAATACCTCAATTTAGAGTTAACATAATAATAATTTGTGATTGTGATTATATTGCTGCTAAAATACTGAATTACAATTGTAGGACCCCACATAGCAAGAGAGGTTGATCAACCTTTGACGCAGGGCAGAAATTAATCTCTACAAAAAAGAAAAAAAAACAACCTGGGTCTTATTTTCTGTTGAAGAGAATTCGGTATTTACTGGAGTAGAATCCATGTTTCTTCAGTCAGTCCAGCAAATCTGAACACCCGAAATGTGAGTGTCCTACAAGAAAAGAATTCACAAAATAATCAAGTGCATTTCAAGAAAACATCAAATGTCCTTTTTACTATATGGTTAATATAATGCTGACTTTGAAGACCATCCAGAGGCTTTAATTGATCACACAGACAATGAAGAGCATGCCCAGACGGGAGACACCATATCACACCTCTGCTTTGGAAGTTGCACTGATCTCCAGTCTGCTTCCACGTACCATTCAAGGTGCCTGTTGCTACCTGACATGCAACCTAGTTACTTGTGGGACCACCTGTCTCCCATACAATGGATGGAAGCAATAGATGGACACTGACCAAAGAGAGAAGCAACCTAGAACTAAGGAGAAACTTCCTGACAGTTAGAACAATTAACCCAGTGGAACAACCTGCCTCCAGAAGCGGTGAATGTGCCAACACTGGAGGTTTTTAAGAAGAGACTGGACAGCCATTTGTCCGAAATGGTGTAGGGTTTCCTGCCTGAGCAGGAGGTTGGACTAGATGACCTCCAAGGTTCCTTTCAACATTATTATTATTATTATTATTATTATTATTATTATTATTATTATTATTATTGTTATTCCTGCCTGGCAGATTCCATCTTGTACAGCTGGCAGGACCTGGGTCCCTCGGATTAAATGCCATCTATCCAGGCCTGCCCTTTGAAATGTGATTGCCCTCAAGACAAAAACCATCCGGGTCTGATGGCAGGTGCAGCCATTCTGGAATCAGGACAACCTCTGGGGGGAGAGGCAGGAATCCAGGCCCCCAGCTACCATCAAATGTTCTGCTTAGAAAGCCATAGGTGCCATTTAAGCAAATGTTTTTTTTTAAATTTTATTTTTAACCCACAAAACAAAACAAAGCAAAACGTAACACACATACACACACAGTATATACTCCCCCTTTTTTTTAACAGCGATTACGTAACGGTAATCTATTATTTACATTTTCCCCCTTATTCTTCTTTAGAGTATTTGTCCTTATTGCCCCGTTGTTTCTTATTTACATTTTTCTTCCATATTCTACTTCTTACTAAGAATAATTCATATTATTATTATAATACGTTATTATACACATATTTTCACTTTTGACCTTTCCATATTTTCCTTCATATTCTACTTCTTACTAAGAATAATTCATATTATTATTATACGTTATTATACACATATTTTCACTTTGGACCTTTCCATATTTTTTTCTCCTCTATTATTTCTAGTCTCCAACCAGTCATACCACTTGTTCCATGTTATATAGTACTCAGTGTCTTCCTTTTCTTTTATCTCTTTTGTTAATTTGTCCATCTCAGCACAGTCCAGGCTTTTTCTTATCACTTCTTCCTCTGATGGTGTATTCTCATTTTTCCAGCACTGGGCATAAAGCAAATCATGTTGTTGTTGATGCCACCACATGTCTCACGCCTTTTTTTTTTTTTTCTGCAACACATTCACAAGCCAAAGGTCTTGCAATCGTTCCTGTACCTGATTTTAACGCAACAGCTGTGTTCCTCAACCCTGGCAACTTTTAACATATGCTCTACAGCAGGGGTCCTCGACCTTGGCAACTTTTAAGACTTGTGGACTTCAACTCCCAGAATTCCTCCCTGAATTCTGGGAGTTGAAGTCCACAAGTCTTCAAAGTTGCCAAGGTCGTGGACCCCTGCTCTACAGCAGCGGAGGGGAAACGATGGCGCCTTGTTGACTTGTGGACTTCAACTCCCAGAATTCCTCAGCCAGCGGGCATGGCTGGCTCAGCAGGAATGGCTGGCTCAGGAATTCTGGGAGTTGAAGTCCACAAGTCATAAAAGGGCTCTCGTTCCCCAGCCCTGCTCCACAGGGATAGATATAATATACGTCCTATATATTGGCACGTTGGGAATAAGCAGGTGCCACTCTCCAGGCGTGCAATAATGGCTCTCTCTCCACTCAAGCCTAGTCCTCGCCTCAAAGGAGGAGGCAGGAAGGACGCTCTAGGAACAGGCTTACCCGGGCGGCTGGTCAACCCCCTCGCCGTGTCTCTCCCGGCTCCCCCGCCTTCCTTCCGGGCGCCCGCCAGCTTCTCCCCGCCTCCTCCGCCCCCACCGCTCGGGGTCGGCTGGACTCGCAGCAGAGCTCTGGAAAAGGGGCGTATTTGCCACTAGGCCAGGCCCCGCCCTCCTCGTAGGGCGCGCGGGGGCGGAGGCGGGGCCGGAGAAGAAGCTTCGTCTCGGATTGGTTGAGAGGGTCGCTTGCAGCCTCTCTTTGTGAAGGGGCGGGGGGGGGTTGGCGCGGGAATTGAAGAGCGGGCTGAGGGAGTCGGGTTGCAGGTTGCAGGTGAAAATCTGCAGCTACCTATAGGTCGAGGGTAGGCAACCTTGACTCTTTTATGACTTGTGGACTTCAACTCCCAGAATTCCTGAGCCAGCATGGCTCAGCTTAGAAACCTCTCCCTTTCCCCTCAGCATGGCTGGCTCAGGAATTCTGGGAGTTGAAGTCCACGAGTTATAAAAGAGCCAAGGTTGCCTGCCCCTGCCATAGGTCTTGCAGCAGGTATTGAGCATGGGGTTGGACTAGAAGACCTCCAAGGTCCCTTCTAAGTCTGATGGTCTGTGTTCTACATCTAACCCAGGGGTGGGGAAACAATGGCCCTGGTTTTATGACTTGTGGACTTCAACTCCCAGAATTCCTGAGCCAGCCTTTCCTGCTGAGCCAGCTATCCCTGCGGGCTCAGGAATTCTGGGAGTTGAAGTCCACAAGTCATAAGGGGGCCATCGTCCCCCACCTCTGCTGTAGAGCATATCTTAAAGCGGGGGGGGGGTCTTCAAACTTGGCCCTTTTAAGACCTGTGGACTGCAACTCCCAGAATTCCTCAGCCATTGTGGCTGGTTCAGGAATTCTGGGAGTTGAAGTCCACAAGTCATAAGGGGGCCATTGTCCCCCATCTCTGCTGTAGAGCATATCTTAAAGCGGAGATCTTCAAACTTGGCCCTTTTAAGACTTGTGGACTTCAACTCCCAGAATTCCTCAGCCATCGTGGCTGGTTGAGGAATTCTGGGAGTTGAAGTCCACAGGTCTTAAAGTTGCTAAGTTTGTAGACCCCCTTGTCTTAAAGCATCTTGTGGATGTCAACTTCCAGAGTTCCTGAGACAGCTGTGCTGAGTCAGGAATTCTGGGAGTTGAAGTCCACAAGTTATAAAGGGCCCATCATTCCCCACCTCTAACCTCTCACATTTGGGATAAGTTTACCGTACAGGTAGTCCTCCACTTATGACCACAGCTGAGCCCAAAATTTCTGATATGAAGTGAGGTATTTGTGGAAGTGAGTTTTGCCCCATTTTACAACCTTGCCACAGCTGTTAAATGAATTGCTGCAGTTGTTAAGTTAGTAACTTGGTTGTGAAGTGAGTCTGGTTTCCCAATTGACTTTGCTTGTCTCAAGGTTGCAAAAGGGGATCACATGACCCCGGGACACTGCAACAAGTCAGGTGCCAAGAGTCTGAATTCCACGACCATGGGGATGCTGCCATGGTCGTAAGTGTGAAAAATGGTCATAAATCACTTTTTTTCAATGCTATTGTAACTTTGAATCATCACTAAATGAGGCTCATCCTAGTTTCCTCATTCATGCTTTAATCTGCAGTCATTAGGCCCCACACTGAACCCCAAACAAAGTGGGGGACAAAATCATCAGAACGGTGACTGTGCAGTGTGGCATTCATGCAAAAGGGACAAGGCTTTGATCATATCTCATAGCTCCCATCTTGACTTTCTTGACTTCTCTCTCTCTCCCCTCTGTGGATAACTCCAGAGCTGCTTCAAAGTGTGTTGTATTTTTCTGCACAGTTAAGTAACTTCTAATCCTGGTTCGTTGCTGATGGAGAGTTGAAGCCCAACACCTCTGGAGCACATCTGTGTTTGGGAATGCTCTCAAGAGCCTGTAACTCGATTCTAATTTGGGAATTAAATTGCAGTGGAAATTCCAGTCATTCTGCATATTTGGCATTTGAAAGAAATGGTGGTATTTTAATGATTAAATTCCAAGCACCAGTGTTCTCAAACATTTAGCCTTATTGCCAAGCTACACACCTGACGTTGGCTTTCACTCATAAAAGCCAAATTGGCAGAACCACCTCCTCAGATGTAATGTTATTTTTAATTACAGTCATGAGGTAAGTAAGTGCTAATGTCTTGAAGAAGTTTTCTCTTGAATTTAAGGGTGCTTAAATACAACAGGCCTATATAGTTAGTTGCAAAATCGTGTCCGACCCATTGCGACCCCACAGACCACATTCCTCCAGGCCTTCCTGTCCTCTACCATCTTCTGGAGTCCATTTAAGCTCATGCCTACTGCTTCAGCAACTCCATCCAGCCACCTCATTCTCTGTCGTCCCCTTCTTCTATTGCCCTCAATCTTTCCCAGCATTAGGCTCTTCTCCAGTGAGTCTTTTCTTCTCATTAGGTGGCCAAAGTATTTGATATATTAGTTGTACTGAATACAAGTAATCCTTAACTTACAACCTCGAGCTCAAGAGTTCTGTTGCTAAGTTAGACATTTGTTAAGTGAGTTTTATGACCTACCTTGCCACTGTTATGTGAAGCACTGCAGTTAAGTTGTTAAGTGAATCTGGCTTCCCTATTGACTTTGTTTGTCAGAAGGTCCCAAACAGTCATCACATGACCTTGGGACACTGCAATCGTCATAAATATGAGTCAGTTGCCAAGTGTCTGGGTCAGGATAATAATTTAATAACTAAAGAGCTTATGTAAAGAGGTAATGTAAGGGAGATGATACAATGATAAGATGATGCAATAATAGGAACGACTCAGCAGGTGTGTGTATCTCTTTAAGAGCCTGAGTATAAAAGGGAAGCTTTTTGCTGGAGTTTCTCTCTCTCATGCGTTTGACTGCTGTAACTGCTGTGTATTGGAGTTTGCTGAATTATCACGTGTATGTATTTTATTTCTAGTGTATATTTGTAGATATAGTGTAATATAAACCACTATTTAAATACAAACCACTGTGTACTGTATTTACTCCTGGGTTTCCTCAGCGCAGTAAGACTGTGCATGCTCAGACAGTGTGAATTTTGATCACACGACCCAGGGGATGCTGCAATGGTCATAAGTGTGAAAAATGGTCATAACTCACTTTTTTACTGGCACTATAACTGAATGGTCCCCGGAACCTGATTGACATCCTTCTCGGTCCTAACACTGACATATGTCCATAGGAAGTGAAAGGGGTGGGTGGGAAGTCAACCCCAGAACAGAACTACAAACATGCAACAACTTGGAATCTGTTCCTATGAAATGTTTAACCAATAGGCATCTAAATATAAAAAAAGGATGGTTCTCCCCTCACATAATGGCCTTTTTTGTTTTTCTTTTCATAAGCTCAGTAAGAGGGGTTGGTCCGTTTGGCTTACAAACATGGTAGGCAGCCATTGCTGGCAACCTTCTTGCTGTTTTTACAGTGTGCGTGTAGCTCCACACTGGAAAGGCCGATCTATTTGGATGAAGTCACAGGCTGAGTTGTTTAACATTACAGTATTTGTATCCTTGGAGAGGTAAAAAATCAAAAAGCTGGAAGTTTTTATATGCCAAACATGTCCTCTGTTGCTAAGCATTTCATTTGCTATTAGAATAACAGTTATTTCACATTAGCTGGAGGATTGAAGATGTTGCTGCAGCAAATGATAGCTGCTGTGCTGGAGCATAGTGGAAGACTATGAAGACTGCTAAAAAGCTCAGTCCTTTGTTTCAAGCAGCTAGCCTTAAACTGTATTATTTTAATTATCCTATTGCAACTGATTGCAAAATCATTTGGGATACTCCATGGGACTCCTCTAACATACAATCATGTTAATTATATATATTATTAATTGTGTGTATAATATTCATTTTAAAAATAGATTGATAATAGTCTCTGAAGAGTCAATCATCCAACTGAAATGATTTCAGAAAAATATTAACACATTTTGTTGTTTCAATATCCTTAGACTAGAGCAGTGAGGGCGAACCTTTTAGAGACCCAAACTGCAACCCAAAACCCACTTATTTATCGCCAGGTGCCAGGTGGGCATGGCCCACTGAGTGGGCGTGGCCGTCGTCATGGCAGACTGGTTGGTGTGGCCAAGGTGGGTGTGGTCACCTCGATGTTGCTCTTGGGGAGGATGCCTGTGGAGGCCGGGCACGGTTGGGGGAGATCCAGGGGGTCTCTGGCAGGTGGGGCGGTGGGCAGGAGGCTCGTTCTGCAGGTTGAGGCAAGGCAAGGCGAGATAGGGTGGGGGTGCCATTGTCACAGGGCAAGGCGAGGCAGGGGCCAGGGCGGCTGCTGCCTGACACCATCGGCCCCTGCACACACAGGCCAGCGAGCGCATGAGGGCCCCTCAACCGGGGCATTCTGGGGCTCCGCAGTCCGCCGCCAGCATTTCAGAGAAGCCGCCTCTGAACTGGACGGCCGGCCGACAGCTGAGGAGGCGATGCAGTGGGTCGTGCCTGGGAAAAGGAGAGCATGCGAGGCCAGGAGGGATTGGACGGGGGGGAGGGAAACCAGCCATGCTGGGATGCATCCAACCACGTGGGACCTCGGCAAGTTAGCGGGCAGCTGGTTGAAGAGGGACGGTTGCCATCTCCTGGGCATGGTGCGCATGCCCACAGAGATGGCTCTGAGTGCTGCCTCTGGCACGTGTGCCATAGGTTCACCACCACTGGTCTAGAGTCTAGACTCTAGCCCCGTGATGGCGAACCTATGGTACATGTGCCACAGGTGGCACGCAGAGCCCTCTCTGTGGGCATGCACGTTCTAGGCCTTCAGCTGGGTTTTATAAAACCTTTTCACTTTAGGCCTCCGCCATGTGCAAAAAAAAAAAGGTTCAATCAATCAATTTCAACTTCTCGCGGGAAAAAAAAAGATCTCGCAAAGTTGGAATTGATTAAACTTTTTAGTTCCACCCAGTCTGCCGTTACCATCACAGCTATGCCCACCAATGGGCCACGCCCACCTAATTGACCACGCCCACCCAGCACCCACAATACATAAGTGGGTTTTGGGTTGCAGTTTGGGTACTCGGTCTCTAAAAGTTTTGCCATCACTGGCCTAGGTGGCCCAGCAGCGCCCTGGTGGCCACCCCCTCCACCCACGCCCCACAGCATCTGCGTGCGACGGGGCACAAGTGGGCCATGCCCAGGGGCGTCTCTCTTCTGGGGAGGCTGCTGGTGAGACGGGGGCTACGGGGGGAGGCAGGGCTTGGGTGACGGCGTACTGCCCACAGAGAGAGCTCTGAGTGCCCCCTCTGGCACACGTGCCACAGGTTCACCACCACTGTCCTAGACCTTGTGGGACCATAGGATGCAGAAGACAATATATTTCTGTACTTAGAAATCTGTTGCATACTTGAGAAGCCAGATCATAAGCTTTGGCTCCAACCGATGAGAATGCGGCCAGCTCTCCTCACAAAATCCTTGCTGTAAGAAGAACATTTTGTTTGCTGTGTTTTCTGTTTTACTTCATTTATGCTTGTAAAAGCAAGACATTGGTGCTATGAGTGTGCAGCTGAATCTCCCAAAGATCTTCTGAAGCCATTCCAGCTGGCAGGGGTCTTTGGGAACGGTTTGCCAGCTCAACTATTCACTAACTGTTTAGATCATGTCCTAAAATGCCCTCTTCTGTCCCAGCACAACTACAGCAAAAACATTTTAAGACATGGTATCTTTTTCTTCTGGCTACACAGAAGATTCTAAACATTTGCCCTCTGCTCTGATCACACATGGTATAGAACAGAGGTCCCCAAACTTTGACCCTAGCCCAAAGCGAGCCCTGTTTACAATGTTGATGAATTTTATTTAGGTCATGAGTTTTCTTTCAAATAAGCCCTCAAAGATCATGTTGGAGTGAATCAGTGACAGAATACATTTTAACGGGTCACAGTCTTGTTGTATACATGATATTTTTTCTCAAACCTGCAGTTAATATATGCAGACCAAAGATAAATTGATAGTGGGAAGTGAGGCTATAAGTCAGACATGTCAAACACAAGGCCCGGGGGTTGGATGCGGCCTGCGAAGTGGTTTCATGTGGCCCGCGAAGCCATCCTGGAAACAGTGAGGGAACAGCCCCCACTGCCTTGGCCCTGGCCCAGGCCAGCCAGGAGCCAATGTACAATTTTGTGGTGGCCATCTTGGCACTTGCCCCAGTGGACCATGCCTTAGCACTTGCCCCGGCCTCACCCCCTTCTGCTAGAGACCCTCAGATCTGTCCCACTCCCGTCCAAGCCCCCATAGGCAACCTTGACGTGAACGATGTAGAACTGGCCACACCCACCCAGTATGCCACACCCACTCCATTCACACCCATCCAGTAGGCTGCACCCCTCTGGCCACACCCACCCGGCCCCCTAAGGGCAACCGCAATGCTGATGCAGCCCTCAGTGAAATTGAGTTTGACATCCCTGCTATAAATCATTGAAAATTTTAATTAAGAGAAACGTATTGTTTGCATGCTGTTCTTTATAAATCTTTTTTCATTTTGATGAACATGTATCACCTATCTAGAAGTATTTTTTTTTAACCTAGGATACTATCTCACACATTGCCATTAATGATTATATCGCAGTCACTATTTCCCCAACTGATATTCTCGATGTCTCAAATTGCAACTCTTTTGCCCATTCCCCATAGCCAAACGCCACACTGGCTGAAAAACTATAGGACAATGGTTCTCAACCTTTTTAATGCTGTGACCCCCAACCGGTCGTAAGCCGAGGACTACTCAACTGGTGCAGCACCGTTTGCAGAATGGGACTTTTGGCGGGCTCAGCAGGGCAGAGACAGCCTGGACAATTCCTATTGGCTTTGAAAGCCAATAGAATTAGACTCTATTCAAGAGAGTCTATTCTATTGGCTTTCAAAAGCCAATAGAATAAAAGGGAGTAGCACAGCTAAGGAAAAGGGGGAAAAAATGGCGGACTGCAATGTTTGGCGACCCCCGTGAAATGGTCGTTCGACCCCAAATGGGATCCCGACCCACAGGTTGAGAACCACTGCTATAGGAATTGGAATCTAGCTTGTGGATACCTGGATGGCAACAGCATGCGGAAGCCGTAGTACCCGTTTACAATCCACCCTAATACAGTATATTATAAAGTTAATGGTAGTTACTGCAAATGATTTTTAATTAAGCCCAATTACGTATCTTTTAGGACAGGGGTCCCCAATCCCCCGGTCCGTGGACTGGGACCAGGCTGCGGCATGCCAGCAACCGGTTCGTACAAACAAGCAAAGCCCCATCTGTGGGATGCAGGCAGCACACAAAACTACACACTCTCCGGTCCGTGGAAAAACCTTTCTCCATGGAACTGGTCCCTGGTGCCCAAAAGGGTGGGGACCTCTGTTTTAGGACATCAAACACAATTCTAAATACTAGAAGAAACCTGCAATTATATAAGCCAAGATAATCTTGTTTTGTGTATGCATCACAATTACCTGTTTTGTGTCCAGATTAAAGTCTATTATCTACATGCTTAACGATGAACATATATTTTATGCGTTATCATTTCATAACTCAACAGTTTCTTGCCAATTCTCCTCTCTTTCTTATGTCTAATTGTCTCTCTGATCTGGTGTTCAATTTCTCTCAGCTTTAGACCAAAGAAAGATTGGTTGTCCACACCCTGAGTGCCATCTACAGGACACACATTATGAATACTTAAGGTTCAGCTAGGACAGTGGTTCTCAACCTGTGGGTCGGGACCCCATTTGGGGTCGAACGACCATTTCACGGGGGTCGCCAAACAATGCAGTCCGCCATTTTTTCCCCCTTTTTCCTTAGCTGTGCTACTCCCTTTTATTCTATTGGCTTTTGAAAGCCAATAGAATAGACTCTCTTGAATAGAGTCTAATTCTATTGGCTTTCAAAAGCCAATAGGAATTGTCCATGCTGTCTCTGCCCTGCTGAGCCCGCCAAAAGTCCCATTCTGCAAAGGGTGCTGCACCAGTTGAGTAGTCCTCGACTTACGACCGGTTGAGTAGTCCTCGACTTACAACCGGTTGGGGGGTCGCGGCATTAAAAAGGTTGAGAACCACTGAACTAGGAGATCTGGTATCTCCTTTCTTCCAGCGCTTTTCCAGTACTCTTATCAGGTTCTTAGAATTTTGACAGGAATAACACATTCAGGTTCTTTTCCAGTGCTCTAACGTTCTTAGCTGGTGACAGAAATAGCACATTCCAACTTTTGATGGGGAAAAAAACCTTCATATCCTCAAATAATCCCACAATTATGCCTCTTTAATGCAAATTTTAGATGACTGTTCTTCAAAAACACAGGAAGCTGGCAACAAGCCTCCTTCAAAGCATGCTATGAGTTTTCTGGCTCCTGGGGAGTTACATGGGCCATGGAATCAACTTACAATACAATCAAATTGGTTTTTCATTATCTTTCATGTCTGAAAAGTGCTTTTTCAAAAGGCAACTAGCCTGGAAAAAAACAGTCCAATTGCAAAAGCACTTTTGAGACAACTATGATCTGGATGACTGAGAATCTCCACAGACATTATCTTTCTTTTTTTTTTAAAAAAAAAAAAATCTAAATTACCCTAAAATGCAGCAAGATTTAACTCAGGGGACTTCAAACTTGGCCCTTTATGACTTGTGGACTTCAACTCCCAGAATTCCTCAGCCAGCATGCTTGGCTGAGGAATTCTGGAAGTCCACCATAGGCTGGGGAATTCTGGGAGTTGAAGTCCACAAGTCAAAAAAGGGCCAAGTTTGAAGAGCCCTGAGCTAGCTAGAAAGTGATCCTGCGTATTCCGCCTAAATAAAGTCTTCTTCTTAATTCCATCAATGGTCTGCGGTCTTTTCTTTTTCGCCAATCAATTCACGGATTGGGCGCGGCCTCCGGTCGTCCCTGTCCAATCACAGCCGAGCTCCCCGCTCCGTGTTACGGGTCCTCTTTCGCACGCGCTTGCTCCGCTGATTGGCGGAGGCGGCTGCCCAATGGGCGAGGCGGAACCGTAGAGTCAAGAGACGCGGCTGGCTCCGCCCGACCAATCAGGAGGCGCGACATCCCTGCGGTGGGCGAGCCGGATAGCGGGAGGGCGTGGCCGCCGAGAATGCCATCGGGACGGCCGGGGCGAAAGAGGCGGGGCGAGGGAGCGGCGTCCAATGGCAGCTGGCGGGGGGCGGGGCGGACGGCCTGGCGTCTGCCTTGGGGAGAGCCGAGCGGAGTCGAGAGGCAGGCGGTTGGAAGCGGCCGCGCGGGGCAGGCTGTGTGGGTGCGCACACGCGCTACGGCCGCTGCCCAAAAATGCACTCGGATGCCGCGGCTGTCAGTAAGTGGGTCGCCGGGCGGGAGCGGCCTGGCAAACGGCGGGCGAACCGGCGTTTGCCTTTTCGGGAGGGCGGCGGAACGAGAACGGCGGCCGGGGCAGAAAGCGACGGGTGCCGACGGAGAGTCCGGGGATGCATTGCAGGGGGGGGGGAAAGGCTCCCTGTGACGCACTTCGCCCGAGGAGGCTTCCGGTTACGGCGGCCCCCTTAGTGCTCCGTTCCCCCCCCCCTTCCTGCCCTTCTCAGCGGCGGCCAGGATGAGTCGGCGAGCGGGGCAGGGATCCAGGGCCGGCGGGGATAGAATGGGGGGGGGGGTAGATGTAGAAAGAAAGGAACACCCCGCTGGCCGCCTCTCCCCTCACTGCATGGTGGGAGTTGGAGTTCCCGTCCGCCGTGGCTACGCGGCCCGGCCTGGCCCGCGGACTACAATTCCCAGAGTGCATCCCGCGGACAGCTGTCTTGCCTGTCTCCCCCCCCCCACACACGCCCCCTCCTTTCTCCACCGCTCGCTCCTGTTTGGGTCAGGGGTGCAACTGGAGCGCGAAGCCAGGCACGCCTGGCCTCTCTGCAGGTAGAGGGGGGGGGTCTCTGCAGGGACTCCCCTTGAAGGGGCAGCTGCATGGGGTCGAGGGTCCCCCCCTTTTTTTGGGGGGGAGGGAAATGAAGCTGGGGAGGCGATCCCCTAACGTGTTCTCCCCTCTTTGGCTCTTCCTTCATCACGTTTAAGCTTGGTTTGGTCTGCACTGGACAAACTTCATCATGGTTTGATTGACATTGATCAAAGAGAAAAAAAGGGGGGGGGGAAGGACGCATTAATTCTCTGTCCTTTTATACAGGAGTCCCCAACCTTGGCGACTTTTAAGACTTGTGGACTTCAACTCCCAGAATTCCCCAGCCAGCCATGCTGGCTGGGGAATTCTGGGAGTTGAAGTCCACAAGTCTTAAAAATGGCCAAGGTTGGGGATCCCTGCCTTAATACCTTTCTTGGAGGTCAACAGAAGCCGGTAATTTATTTCAAGATAAGCTTATTTATGCAAGTTGCTGTTTGCAATTTAATTTGTTGCTGGATAGCCATTTGGAAAGAAAGAAATCCTATTGGATTGTTCATGGATCGGGGCCATTCTAATAGTTGGGTAAGTTTTTCTAGGTCAGTGTGTGTGTGTGTGGGGAACTTACATTTTTGATTTTGTAAAGAGGCTTACCTGAATATGCATGGTAGCCACAGAGGAAGGGGTTTTCTCTGTAGCTGGAACAGAATAACAAGCTGCTAACGGTTATTAAAGGTTAGTCAGTGATGGAGAAGGGAACAGAGTGGCAGAGAAGAGCCAAATCCCTCTATTCCAGGGGTCTTCAAATTTGGCCCTTTTATGACTTGTGGACTTCAACTCCCAGAATTCCTCAGCCAGGCATGCTGGCTGAGGAATTCTGGGACTTGAAGTCCACAAGTCATAGAAGGGCCAAGTTTGAAGACCCCTGCTCTATTCCTCTCTGGAGTCTTGTCACTTCTTGTCTGTGGTGATCAGTGAGTTTTTAAACACAAGGCTATTACTTGAATCAAGCTTGTCTATGCAGAGTACAGCACATAAATATTCTTGCGCATTATAGTAAGTAATGGATAGTTCACACTGTAGCCCATAATGTATTTTTCAGTGTATGTGAAATTCAGAATTCTCTTTTGTTTGTTCTGGGCTGAAAACTCTTATCTGACTTTAAAGGTAAGAATGTAATTAAGCTAGTCAGCTTGGTGGCTCCCATAGAAAGATGAAAAGTTTTGCAAAAATCTCCCTAATTCTTGTTCAAAAATAATATTATTTCTCCATGACATTGCTCAGTTTATTTTTATGAATATTCTGTATTCATTTTAAAAATGTATGGAGTGACAAAAAAAAAAAAACCTTGGAAGAAAGTCCTGTAAGAACTAGCTGCTTCGAAATATGTGTGATTTAGTTACGCTTCACTAGATAATTTTGACCTATTCAAAGAAGGAACTTCTTAAATTTTGTCTGTGTATTTTATTAGTAAACAAAATTATCCACACCTATTATTAATACATTAGAGATTTATATCAAATTTCTTTAGTTTTTAAAACTAGGCCCATGTCTTCAAAAATTCAACAATAAGTAGCAGTAAACTAATTTAACTGGCATCCATTGAACAGTTGAATAAGTTTAGAAGTGCAGACAGACGTCTGAAATTATTGCTGAATGCTTGGAAATTGAGAGGACAGTAGCTATGTTGTAAGATTAGAATGCAGAATACTTGGAATTAAGGCTCACTAAAAAAAACAAAACAGATTAATTCCAAATAAATTCTCTTAAGAATTCAAGCTGCAGCCTTACAGGTTTTATGAAGGGATAACCCCTACTGAATTTCAAGGATAGACTGGAAGTAATTCTGTTGCGTGATGGTATTTTCTTCTGAGTAGGCATGTACTGTATAGAACTGCATCTTCATAGTAACATGTAAAATTGCATTTCAGTGTGTTTATTAAAAAAAACTGAACTTAAATACGACTAGAAGTAAAGTACTCTATTTAGTCTTGCTGGTCTTTAATTTGAGGTGCCATTTTTAACACATCCCATTTAAATATTTTAAGCTAATTTATTAATTTTGTTTTCTATTAAAAGAAATAGGTTGAAAACCACTTCTGCAAAAGATCTCAAGGGGGAACTTTGTTTTAGAGGGCAGGTACTGCTGTAGAGAAGGCTTACATCCAGAGTCCCAATTGATGTCATTGTTTAATGGAAGGAAAAAAATTGGTGGCTTAAAGGTATTGTAGGCTTATATGTAAGTGTGAAAATTCCCCCCCCCCAAAAAAATTCCCTGGTTATCTGGAGACTTAGCATATATAGTACTTGAATAGTTCAGTTGCTATAACAAGCTTCATGTAAAATGATAAAATGATGACAATGGGAATGGCTTTGTGGTAATTTACATTAGTCATTTCATATCTATATTGATTTGTGATTAATATATGTATGTATATATTTGTGTATATGTGCATGTGTGTGTGTGTATACACACCATATGTGTATGTATGTGTATGGTATATGTATTTTCTTTTGAGAGCGGGCATCAGAATTTCATTTTTTAATGTGTGCCAGTGTGTTTACAGTAAAAAATGATGATAAAGGTTATATGTGACCTATAAAAATTGGAAACTGATTATTTTAAACTCTATCCCTCGTAGTGGCTAGTCTCAGTTTCATTTCAAGAATTTTCAGAAGCTGCATTTCTTAAACACCATCATCCACGTTAAGTTGGAGCCTGTTCGTGGCTACTCCTAGGTTCTCAAATTGCTTGGCATAAGATGCGAGAATTTCTCCTCATTTTGCATCTTTCAGCTTTTAGTCCTTCAATTTTGCTGCAAATGGGTTTTAAACAAAAACTTTTTAAACCTTGTCTTACTGATATTTTTTGAGCCTATTTGCTATTCAGTTATATTCTTGTATTTTAATGTTATTTTACTGTAATATATTGGTTTAATAGTAACCTCTTGAGCACTGCTTGTACTGGAGCACCAAGCCATAAATATATTAAAAGTAAAATGAATAAGTGGAGTGCAAGCTTGTTGGCTCTGAAACTAATTAGGGTTTAACCTTGTTAGTATTTGGAATAGAGTCCTCCGCACAATACCAGTGCTGAAGTTCGAAGTTGAGAAAAACACCTAGAAGAAGGCAGTGGAACACCACTTTCATAATATCAGGAAATTACACAGACACAGCCAGATAGCCACCAGCTCAACTGAAAGTTTTATTTTTGTGCCTTTCTGATGCACGGGTTTGACTTTGAATCAGCACCTTTCCTGATTCATATACTGCTCAAAAAAATAAAGGGAACACAAACGTATAGGATCCTATACGTTTGTGTTCCCTTTATTTTTTTGAGCAGTATATTTTGGTTTCAGGGCTGTGAGGTGGAGGAATGTAATAGCAAACCAATTATTATTTTTTTTTTACAGCTGACAGAAAAATATCATGAACAAATCCATGAATCACCAGGGCCAAGCTCAGTTTGAAGGAGCTATGTTTAAGACTGATTGAAATAAAAAAAAAAAACCATTCCAAGCAGACATGGTTAGGCAGGTAAAGATAGATGTAGACAGCATTTCAGAGCATGTTTCAGAACTTCAATAAAATGTCAGAAAAATCTTTTCAGGAACATTTGTTGCATGTCGACGAATGAAAGTAGCTCAATATAAGAAAGCAGTGAAGCTTAACCCCAAGCGAGCTTGAACCAGATGGTAATTTCAAGCAATGGCCTTTGCAGGAAAAGTTCACCACCACCCTCAATTCCCCTAGTAGGGAATAACGGATGTTTGACTTCCTTAGGGAACTCCTGAGTCACAAGTGGGATGCTGGCGGGCCGTATATTTACTTGAACAGTATATAATGCAGGGGTCTTCCAACTTGTCCCTTTGATGACTTGTGGACCTCAACTCCCAGAATTCCTCAGCCAGGCACACTGGCTGAGGAATTCTGGGAGTTGAAGTCCACAAGTCATCAAAGGGACAAGTTTGAAGACCCCGGGTATAATGCATCGGTTGCCTCAGGAAAACTGGGAGAACTTGAATTTTAGGCTGCAACCCGCTGATCACAGAATTGATTGGATTTTTCCTTTTTGAGAGCAGAGAAAATGGCCTAGTTTTGGAGGGGCTGATGTAACATTGAATTATTTTTCTTATGCTCCTTGGAAGTAGCTGCAGCTCTCCCTCGTTGTAAAGCTCTGGTTTTAGGAGAGAGAAAAGGGGAGGAAGAAAGAGAAATCATTGAATGTGAAGTATTGAGAGGTTTCTCATCTGAGCCCATCCTTGAACAAAATGTAAATCAGTTCCTGAGGTGCTAAAGTTATTCCTTTCCTGTTGCTTGCAATTTGTCTTTCCACCTCATTTCAGCCCAGCTGGCCTGTTGGCGATGAAGCATTTAAAATGTGGAAGCCCTTTGACGGGATAGAATAGAATATAGAATAGTCTTTATTGGCCTGGCCCTAGGCCTATTTATTT